TAAATAGCCATGGTGGCTTAGAACTTACTATGTAGGTCAGGCTGGCCTCAAACTCAGCAGAGGTCCACCTGCCTTGGTAGTTAGAATCTAAAATAGTATTTCAAACTGTTTACCCAATTATTTACCCCACGCTAAGGTCTCTTCCATCTTCTGTTGTCCTAAGACGTTGCAGCATGTATATGCCCAGAAAACTCAAAACTAATAAAGTCTGTGTAAAGTGTATTTAAGAAATGAAGCGTTCAGCCTGGACACATGGGGGAGGGCCTAGGCCCTACTCTGGATGATATGACAGACTTTAGAGATTCCCCCATGAAGGGCCTTACCCTCCCTGGAGAGTGGAGTGGGGATTGGGTGGGGGATTGGTGGGGGTGGGAGGCAGGGGAGGGAGAGGGAGCTGGGATTGACATGTGAGGCAAGTTTATTTCTAATTTAAATAAAAAAAGAAATGAAGCATGTGCTCTCTCTCTCTCTCTCTCTCTCTCTCTCTCTCCACACACACACACACACACACACACACACAGATGGGGCAGAATCAGAGAGACAGACAGGGAGGGATAGACTGTGTAGGTGACTTTGAGGTCAACATTTTAAGGCTCCAGGCCTGCTGTGAGCAGTGGTTAGAAGTGTGACAATCTGTGGGCTGCCTTGGAGCTCACTGCTTCTCTAGTGTTTCAGTTCAGTGGGAAGCATTCATAAATATCAACCTGCTCCAAGTTTGCTTAGCCTAATTTGTCAATTAAAATGCAAGAGAGGTAAGGTAGCACTCCGAGGAGCAAGGGATGTGTCTTGTGTGACAGTGCCTTGTCCATAACAGAAGAGACACTAGGCAGGATAACTGCTAGAGTTGGGAAGCAGTTGAATTCGGGTCATGTTATTTCTTTTTAATTAAAAGAGCTTGTAAATTTTACTACATTTATTTGTTGTGTATTATGATGCACACATGTCATAGCTGTGGAGGTCAGCAGACATCTTACAGGAGTCGGTTCTCTCCCTCCACCATGTGTGACCTAGGGATCAGTGTTGTCAGACTTGGAGTCTTAGTGACTTGGCAGCAAGCCCCCGTACCTCCTGAGTCATCTCACCAGCCTGCTCTTCTTCATTCTTGAGTTTACACTGTCATTTTGAATAAACACATCAGCATCTATGCTGGTCCAATCAAGGCAAAGTCTACAACTTTCTCTTGGTTCTGGAACCAAACTCACACCAGTGTGACCAGAGCCTCCTCGGGAGGAAGACAGCCTTGGGCTGCTGGGAGCCCCTGGAGATGTGAGACCTGTGCTGTGTGCAATAACCAGCGTCACAGACCCATCACAGGTGGATATAAGCAGTAAATCAGTAAGGATGGTCTTCAGGCTAGAGGTGAGTGGGTTTAAAACCAGTTGTAGCATTAAGTCCTCCATGAAAGAAAGATCCTTAGCGTCAGGGGGGAATGGTCGTGACCTCAGTGTTTAAGAACTAATGGGATTTGAGCAGATAAGAAGAGACCATTGTGTACAAGAGCGGGGAGGAACAGGAGAGCAAGGTTGGGAGTCAGGACAGGGCTGGAGTGTGCTGGGAGTCTTATGGTCTGATTAGGCAGGAACTTGTTGTCCATAGGGATGTTGAAGGCAGTCAGTTTGGGAGTTCTCTGTCTGGCACCGGCCATGCTTACATACTTTAAAAAGCCTTTGACAAGGTAAGCTTGGACCTATATTAAGTTTTAGAAAAGCGGGAGAATGCTTAGCAGCATGGTGCTTAAGTCAGGCAATCCTCAATTGTCATCCTAGCTGTAGTCCTTACAAGCATGCATTTCTTAGCCCATCTGAGCTTCACTGTCCCCCTTTTCAGTGGAGGGGTGACTGTAGCATCTATTGTGGGGACAAATGAAGCCTAGCTCCTACACGTGTGAATGCTAGCTCCTGCATTAACTCTTTATGCAGATGGTGTGTATTTCTTCAGTACCATCCCCGACTCGTTTGCTCCAAAGCATGAATCACCAAGAATATCCAAGAACAAATTGTGTGTCCATTAAATGTTAGAGACATTAAGTCTTGCTAGTTTAGCTTATTAATACTTATTGAATCCCTACTGTGTGTTTAGTGCCTACCTGGGTCCAAGAGGAGGAAAACAGACACTACCCCTGTCTTTAATGGCTTCATAATTAGATGTAATGAAAAAAAGAATCTTTTCTTCATAGACAAAGTGACAGTATTACCTTGCATTCAAAAATGTGTCATCGATTTTTAGACTTACTATTTTCATTTGTTTGTTCATAGTACAGTGTGAGGAAGTGTGGCCTTTTTTTTTTTTTTTTTTTTTTTTTGCTTTTTCAAGACAGGGTTTCTCTGTGCAGCTTTAGAGCCTTTCCTGGCACTCATTCTGTAGATCAGGCTGGCCTTGAACTCACATAGATCCACCTGCCTCTGCCTCCCAAGGTGTTGAGATTAAAGGCGTGGGCCACCATGTCCTGCTATGTATGGAGTTCTCAAAGAGCCCTCCCTCTTGTAGTTGAGATGACATTTGGCCACAAGGCAGGTTCACACACACAATGACTTACAACTAGCTTTTTTTTTTCTTTTTGGTTTTATTTTACGAGACAGGGTTTCTCTGTATTATTTTGGAGGCTGTCGGTCCAGCCCGGCCTCGAACTCACAGAGATCCGCCTGCCTCTGCCTCCTGAGTGCTGGGATTAAAGGCGTGCGCCACCCACCACCACCCGGCAGCTTTTTTTTTATGTTTTGTTTTTTTGGTGTGCTTCCCCCAACACCATTGTAGGAAACACACCCTGAACCAGTCACTGTGGGGCTGATTTTATGGAATAGGGGATGCCACTGGAGACCTATGGTCTACTTGTCTGCCTGCTTCACCATCCTTAGCATGTGGCCTTGTCTTTATGGTTCTTGAAGGATGGAGGTGGCTGATGACCCTTTGTCCAGAGGCATCCTGATCCTGGCTTCACACAGAACAGTAATAAAGAAGCAGAGATGCATCAGGGGCTTCTCTATGAAGTCTGCCCCCTGAGAATGCTCTCTGGAGTCCCACCCTTGCCAGTTGAGTTACTCTGTTCTACGAAAAGACCGCTGGATAATCACCCCACACTGCTCCGGTGTTTGGGGCTAAGTACATTGCTCTCCCTGATAAAACTGCGTTAACTGTCAGCGCCTGCCACAGTCTAGAGGTGACAGGGTGGCAATGCTAATAACAGCTTGCCTTTGTGATGGCAAGAGTCAGACATCAGGGTAGCTGAAGAAATAAAAAAGATACAGCTTAGTGAGGGATTTATAGATAGCTTTGATTTTAATAAATTTGTGTGTCTCCTTTGATTTTGAAAAGCTGAAGAATGTTGTATGTTTTTTGCCCTAAAAGGCAGCAATGGTTTGTTGTTGTTTGTTTACTTGTTTGTTTATTTTAAAGCAGGCCTTGTGAATATTAGGCAATGTGCTCTGTCACTGAGCTGTGTCACAAGATGTTTTTTCCTTTACATTTTGAGACAGGGTCTCCCTAGACTTCCCAGCCTGGTCCCTTACTCACTGTATAGTCCAGGCTGGCCTCAAACTTGTGATCCTCCTGTCTTAGTCCCAGGAGCTGGGATCTGCACTACCAGGCTTGCCCAAAGTTAGTGTCTTAAGAACTAATGCTAATTGGCTTTATTGTGGAAAACCTCTAAATAAAATTATAAATAGAGGATATGAAGCACTCAGGACAGATCATTTGGTTAGGGAAATACCTAGTAACCACTGAGTGATTCTTAAGAACTTTATTTCTTGCTGGGTGTTGGTGGCACACACCTTTAATCTCAGCACTCTGGAGGAAGAGTCAGGTGGGTCTCTGAGTTCGAGGCCAGCTTGGTCTACATAGTTCCAGGACAGCCAGGGATACATAGTGGAACCTTAATCTATCACAAAACAAAATTTTATTTCTAAAGCCCAGTTAAAATCACTCAAAAATAGTCACAGCCCTAGGCTTGCACCTGCCACCTGATATGGAAATTTTCCTGTATTTTTTCTGAATATTGTCTTCTCAGACACCCATACCCACACATACACACACACACACACACACACACACACACACACACACACACACACACACACACACACACACACACACAAGTCCTCTGGTTCTTGGCTCTTCCTGCATTTTAAGAACCAAGGCAGCTTCAGGAAAATATTTGTGCCAGATTTCCACAGCAGATGTCCTGCCATGATGGTCTGGAACGGTCTTGTGAGAAGAAATGGAGAAATACACTGGGACAGTGGCAGCATGACCAGAGGGAGGGCTTGGACTAGTGTAGACTGCACTTAGAGAAAACTCTCCTACTATACACTAGGACAGTGGCAGCATGACCAGAGGGAGGGCTTGGACTAGTGTAGACTGCACTTAGAGAAAACTCTCCTACTATACACTAGGACAGTGGCAGCATGACCAGAGGGAGGGCTTGGACTAGTGTAGACTGCACTTAGAGAAAGCCCTCCTACTGTACACTCAGATTCACTAGTGCCCAGGGCTGCTGAGCACTGGAAACATGGCTCATATTCTTTTCTTTCTTTTTCTGGTGATACAGGGGGTGGAATGTGGGGCTTGTATGTGTGATTCTAGTGCTCCACTGAGCCACAGCTCCAACCTTAAGCTTTTAATGTAATGAAACTTAATAGCTACATGTAGCTAGTGGCCATCTTACTGGAAAATGAAAATGTAAGCAGTAGACTTGATTGTCTCAGTTACTGCGGAAGGCTGAATGGAGGAGTTCAACATGGCCCTCAGAGTTGAACATGGCATTGACATTTTTTTCAGTCATGGGCAGGTCGTGATGCTCTCTGTCAGAATAGAGTGACTCTTACAGTAAGGCCTCAGGGATGACCAGCATATGACACACTGCCTGACATCTCATAGGTACCCCATCCATTAAGGTTGCTTTGACAGCCTGGGCTGTGTTTGGTTAGCATAAGTATAGTCTAAAGGTGTCTCTGAAAATAACATTTTTTCCTATTGAATCTTTTCTTTCTCTCTTTTAAAATCAGGTATCAAATTGTAGTGGAAATAATCCAAGCAACTACAATAAGCAGCTTTCCTCAGCTGAAGAGGCACAAGGGTAAGAACCAATTTGTTTTCTTCAGTATACATTCGGAAGGTACCTAGAGTCCCCTCTCCTGTCAGGTTTTTGACAAATGTGGAACATTCTGTTGACTTATTTAAATACTTCAAATCTATTAAAACAATGGTCTAATATCATTAAAGAAAGTAAAAATAGTTTCAACCTGACAAAAGCCTGTATTTTCTTTGTATGTGTGTGTGTGGCTTATGTATATGTTCATATGTGTATAAGTGCATGTATATGCACTTACATGATGAGACCAATTGACAACTTTCTACCTTTCAGGGCAGGGTGAGGGTAGGAAGACTCTTTCTCCAGCCAGGGACTTGCCAAGTACGCTGGCTAGCTGGCCAGTGTGGCCCCAGGATCCACCTGTCTCCACTCTCACACCCAACATATTTTGTGTGGGTTCCAGGAATCAAACTTAGTGTCTGTTCTTTCATGGCAAGCACGTTACTGTCATCAACCTATAAAACGCAGCTGTGGCCACAGTCTCAGAGGTGGGAATTAGAGCATGTGTGGTGTTTCTATTCTGCTTCTAACTGACCTGAGTCTGCATTGCTTTTCTCGTGGTCACTGTGATGTTCATTGATGTTTCTGTTTTAACCATGCTCTTGATAGTCTAGAGGCTAGTGTTTTCATGGTTCATTTAGTCTTGTCCATCAGGTGAGTGTTTGAATTATTATGATTTTTCCTTTCTACACTTGTGTTTCAGGTTTTTTATTTTCTTTAACATTTTTATTTACTCATGTCTTTCACATTACTCATCTCAATCCCATTCATTTCCCCATCCCTTCATATCCACCTTCTCCCCTTGCAATGCCCCCCAAATAAAATGAAATAAAATTTAAGAGAAAAAAGGATAGGCGGAATCTCTCCCCCACTCATGCCAACATGTGACAGATGAGGGGCAAGGCCAGATCTCTCACACTCCCGTCCAAGGACCTGCTCACTCCCGCTCCCAGCAGGGTCAGCTCCACTGCTACCCAGACAAGGGGCAGGGCCTGCTTTCTGGAGCGTTGCAGCTGGAGGCAGTAGGGGCGAGGGGTGAGGGCATCTCTCCCTCCCTCCCACCACCACGCCACAGACAAGGCAGCCACTCACACCGTCATGTCTGGCTCACCTGTGCCCCTGTCCACAGGCTCATCTCTACTGTGCCACCCAGGTGAGGGGCAGGACCTGCTCTCCTGAGTGCTGAAGCTGGTGAGGGGTTGGGTCAGGTCCCCCACCTGCAGCAGCTGGCAAGGGACAAGGGGAGGAGGGCACCTGCCCCTCATCCACACCTTCACATGGCAGACGAGAGGGCACAGCCTGCTCTCCTATTTTCACAAGCCCTCAGGACCAGCTCATCTATGCCCCTGTGAACTGTTGTACTGCCCAGGTGAGGTGTCCGACCTGCTCTCCTGAGTGCTTCAGCTGGTGAGGGGTGAGATCAGTTCTCCCTAGTGCTGCGGCCGTTAAGGGGCAGGGCCACCTCTGCATAGCCCTATCCTCTCAGTCTTTGGCAGTATCAGGAACCAGGGGCATCAGCACAGACAGCAGCTCCATCAGTACCATGAACCCAGACATGGGGCCCTGCAGCAGCCCAGGCCTAGACATCAGCATGGCCCTGGGTGGCAATTAAACCACCCACCTCAGCCTGTTCCTCACCTCTTCACCTCTTCAGATATGCCTCACAGGACATGAACCATCCCCCTCCCTCCCTCCCTCTCTCTCTCTCTCTCTCTGTCTCTGTCTCTGTCTCTCTCTCTCTCTCTCCTTCCTCCCTTCTCCTCCTCCTTCTCCGTCTCCCCCTCCCCCTCTCCCTTACCACACCATACATTTGTTTACCATAATAGGGCCCAACTTCCCAGACCACCCTGGGCCTGCATGTGGGTCTCCTAGTCTGGCTAAGTCTGTCATGGCACGGGGTAGGACTGTGCTTTGTCCTCAGAGCCCAGAGCAGACTGCCCCAGGCCTCCTGTGTTTTAGGTTTCTAAAACCCAAATATATATGCTCTATCATTTTGCCTATTTGTTTCTCTTCAGATGAGGTGGGATTCTTACCTGGGCTTGCCCTGGGGAGGGATTGGATATGAGGGTGGCTTTTAGTTCTTTGTAGCTTGCCTGTTGCTCATTCATTTCCCCTTCTCCGCTTACATGTGTGAAATTGGACATGTTATTATCTCCAGCACAGAATTTGCCATAGACAGGAAAACCCCACTTTGATCTGGAGGAATGGACATCATGTAAAAATCCTCAGATCTGATCAAATTCTGGCCAAGTAGTAGTGTTCAGAAAGAAGTCCTCGGAGTTCTGTCCAGGACTTTAAAACATGTTGTGTGCTAAGTTTCTAGTCAGCCCAAGAGCAAAAGGAAGTTTGACTTGAGGACTGTGACTTGTCCCCTGCAGTCCCCCAGAAAGCAGGAGCTGTGTGCAAAGGAAATGTGCTGAGGAGGAAAAGGCTCTCGCTCTTGAGACCAGCCCCCAAGGAAGACTATAGGTATCCAGCCATGGAGGTATTATGGAGTACCTCTTTGGTGAGAGCAAGTAGTGAAGCAAGAGGCTCTCATCGAGCTGGGGGAAGTCAAACAGTAAAAAACAGAAATATTTCAGAAGGTGCTAAGTGCTTTAGCAAGCAGTGTGTCTATGTGGGCGATGAGTCAGTGTGGTAGAGCAGAGGCTGGTTTTGTCTTTGGTGGTAGCATGAGATGACCTCACCTGCATGGTGAGCTGTGAGCACTGGTCAGACTTGAGAGTGTCTCCTGAACAAGGGACAAACATAACCCTAAAGGCGGAAGCGTGGGGGTCTGTTTGAGGAAGATGCTCTTGATTGAAAGAGATAGGCTGGAGGAAGACTTCTAGACATGAGCTCACAAAGGCGCAGTGAGCTGTACTCTGAATGAGGAAGGACGTCCTTGAAGCCTGTGGTAATGGAACCTGGAAGATCGGTTGTTTTCCTCTCCTTATTCTCATTGTTCGTGCAGGGAGGATGCGTTACTTCCAGACAGTTTTAAAGAGTGTGCCAGATGGGGATTTTTCTCACCACCCTCCTCTTTTCTGTGATCTTCCTTGTTGGTATAAGCTTAGTTAGACAACCATTTTCTCACTGGGTCACTGCAGTTCCAGGGTGCACTGTTGAGAGTAGTATGATGAAACCCCTCTTCCCACACACATGCCATCCTAGATAGAAATAAGCTCTGCACCCAGGGTATCCATGCTGTATATGCTATCCGCCTGTTAGTTACTCAGTAGCTGCCTTAGCTACTTCCATTGACTGCATTTGTTTATATAACTCTTACTGTAAAAGTGGCTCCAAGGCACAAGAGTAACAGTGATGGCAGTTTTATTACAGTGATTTGTTTTAATGTGTCTAGTTCACTATTGTTGTTAATGTCTTGCTTTGCCTAGCATTTAAATTAAGTTTTATAATTGTTTGGAATATAAAGATAAAGGCACAATATATAGAAGTTTTGGTACTATGTGAATCTTCAGAAATCCACTGGGGACTTAGAAGATACTCATCATGGTAAATGCAGCAGTACTTACATTGTTCAGAATATAGTCATGTTACACCTGTGGGATAGTCAACCTGGAACAGAAGTTATGAAGTAACATCCCTTAAGAGTAGCACTGAGTGGAGGCATAAAGGTTGAGCATCTCTCAGTCCCATTGGGTATGAGGCAGATATGAGTAGATGATCCCGTATGCGCATAGTCAAAAGAATGGTGAGAGAGCCTCAGTGTTTAGCCTGTGTCGTGTGAGCACTGTGCTGGTGCTTGGCATCCAGTGGAGAGGCGAGGCTTGATAGGTAGACAAGGGCTGGACCTAAAATGTCTTGACACTGTGGTAATTAGTTTGGGCATAATGGTGTAAATCCATGGTTTTCAAATGACAGTCTGTACCACATTCACCTGGAAGACTGTGAAATGCAGGTGACTTGGCCCTACTCCGAAGTTCAGGCACTGCAGCTCTCAGATCTGTTTGAGTCCTAGGAGTCAGCATTTTCCTACGTCCCTCGGGAGCTGCTGCTGCTACTAATGAGGACCCACACCCCCAGAATCATCCCTGTAGGTGAAACAGCCGCCTGCACATTCATACCTGCATCTTGGTGCCCAGTACTCGGCTTTCTATTTATAGTCAGCCACAACAGCCAGAGTGCTTGAGAAATGGTTTTTCAGAATCTGTAGCCCAAATGTCAGCTTCTAGTGAGGATGGAGCACATACTGCATCTTCCTGTGGTTGGATGAATCAGCCACTGTTGTCAGCTACTGTTAATAGTTTCTCCTCTGCTGTTCTGAATCCTGAAATGTTAATAAGTTCACTCAGTTGACTCCAGCAAAAGGCGCACAGTTGATCTGCATGTACGGGAAATGTTATGCATAAATATTACATGTGAAGAGAGATGCAGTCACTGCAGAGCAGGCTTCTTGCCTTTGTGTTCACTTGCTAAAACCGATTCCTCAAAATGTACTTTAACAGCTTTGAAGTTGAATATACCAAACAGAACTGCAGAACTATAGACTATATCATGTATGTATATGCATACATGCATATCTACATACACAGGGTCACTTGCTAATAAGAGTCATAATAATTTTCATTACAACTTGCTGTTAAACATATAATGCTCTGCCTTCTTCTAGTCTGTGGCTTTGAGGTACCTCTACCTGAAAGAAGGAGCCGCCTGTGGGCTCTATTGGATTTACGGTGTTTTTTTCTAAGGTTTTAATGTGGTCTGATTTCCTAGCATCACAGTGAAGTGATGTAGGCACTTCCTGATTTATAAGTGACCTAACCTTACAGAAGGCCTACTGAGCTTTATGTATTTTTAAAGATTTAATTTTTATTGTTTTGTCTGTTGAGTGCCTGTGTGTACATGTGCATCAGATCCCCTGAACTGGAGTTAATAGACAGACTACCTGATATAGTTACTGGGTACTGAATTCAGGTCTTCTGCAAGAACGTGCCACTCCCAACTGCTGAGTCACCTCTCCAGTCCCTGATGTTTAAATATTA